AAGTTAGAATACAAACTGCAATGGCAAACTATGGTCAAGTGCCAACAGATGTACAAATGCAAACTGCCATGTCAAATGACGCTGCGTTAGGTTTGCCACCATGGTATGCAAATATGAGATGGAAAGAGTTTTATACAAACCCTGAAGTGGGATATAAACAACTTTATGCAGATGACGCGAACACAGGAGTTGACCCAGAATATGTTTTCTACCAGAGGAGAAACAGAATGTATGAGCTCCAGTTAAAGAATGCTATGGAACTCAACAGGAAACGTAAGAGACTAGGCGGACATTAGATTTTTACATATAGTAAAATGGGTTTCTTTGGAAGAATAGGAAACTTCTTTCGAAATGTTGGAAGAGGTATATGGAATGGAATAAAAACCGTCGGAAGAGGAATTTGGAACGGAGTCAAAAATATTGGCAAAAGAGTAGGTCAGTTCGTTGGTATTATACCTAAAGACCCTGAACCAGAAGAACAAGCTCCTGTTATACAACAGCCTGAACCTGCACCACAGTCTAGTTGGCAACCAAATCCAACACCTCAACCGTATTAAAAAATTATATTTTTACCGTTCGATAGTAGTTGTATATGAAACTAAGTTCTAAGTAAAACGCGTGGTATAATGGAATTATTCTCTTTCTTCCATCTGTAGTAAACCATACTTGAAAGTCTGAAATACTTCCACTTGGTGGTTCGTATAGCTTTGTAGGTTTTCGTAAAAGTCATTTGCCAAGCATAAAAAGAGTTTTGTGCACCAGAAAATGAAGCATGAACTATAATAGCATCTGAGTCGAAAACATTTTCATATGTTCCATTAGGGTTTTCGACTTCATAAAAGTTCGGGTGTACTGGATATTCTGCAGGCTGATTTAACATCCTCAAAAATCTATACCATGCCAAGTTGTTATATTTTGTAGAAATATAAACGTCTTCTCCAAGGTCTTCTATTCTATTGATTTTAACAGTTGCATTTTTCCTGTCATATATAATATCGAGATGGTACTCTCCTTCGTCAATGTTGTACTGTTTTGCATATTCGAGATAGATATCGTTTATTTTTTCTTGAAAAGCTTGAAGAGTTGTTTCTAAGTTTACAAGCAAACTAACTTGTAAAAGTTTTCCCTGTTCAAATTTCTCATACGTACGTTTTTCTTTGTTATAGTATCGAACTTCAAAAGCGACCGTAAATGGGAAACCATGTATGGCTTCTGAAATGAACTTCATTCTACGAAAGCCAATAGCTTTTGTGACGGATGGGTCTCTTAACCATCTTAACGGGTTAGTCAAAACGATAGCCTTCATGCTTACGGTCTCTGTCTCAAAACTTTTGACCGACATTCGTAAAAAGTTCATCTAATGGTTTAGTTGTAGCAACTCTTGAATTTTCTTTTTCTATTGAAAGCATATTTTATCTAGAATAAAAATGTCAAATGAAACAGCGTCTATGAGAGAAATACAACACAACCGACAACTCATTATACAAGCTCTAAATAAGAACACAACAAACTTTTCAAACTATTCTAAGATATCTGAGTCATTGAAAGAAGGAAACTTAAAACTGACGATAAACCCAATGACAGATGAGTTTCTGTTTCAAGACAAAGAACCATATTGTATAAATCCAACAAAAGGAACTTTAAACGAGAAACCTATAAAAGAACTTCTTTTGAAAGCAGATGTTGACAACAAAGCTGACAAAGAGTATGTCATTGAAAAAGTTCAAGAAGAACATGACAGAGCAGATGCAACATATGCAACGAAAGAACATACTCATCCTGAACTAGCAGACAAAACATATGTTGACAATAAAATGTCAAGTGAAGTGACAAGAGCTGACAAAGAATATTCTAAAAAGACTCATATACATACCATTGCAAAATATTACAAACTTACAAGAAACCTTAAACAGGAAAAGTGACGTTGGACATACACATACCATTGCAAATATTACAAACTTACAAGAAACCTTAAACAGTAAAAGTGCCGTTGGACATACACATACCATTGCAAATATTACAAACTTACAAGAAACCTTAAACAGGAAAAGTGACGTTGGACATACACATACATCTTCTGAAATAACAGACTTAAACGTTAGCCTTGAAAAGAAGGCAGATAAGAACCATACACACGATTTCTTCGCAACTGTTGGTATAGAAAATATTGAAGGAACGTTGAAAAACTGGTGGGGATGTATTAAATTGGAAACCTCCTAACTTTCCACAAGTTTAACATCGGATGAAGACATAACAACGATGAAATACACTAGATGTAGAAATGTCTATGTCATGGAGGATGAAAACAAAGTTAAATTCACTGCTCAAGATTTATATGATAAAAAAGCTGACAAAACATATGTTAACGATGAGTTAGATAAAAAAGCTGACAAAACATATGTTAACGATGAGTTAGATAAAAAGGCTGACAAAACAGAGCTTCAAACGTTAAAGACAGAAATACTTCAAACAGTATATCCTATAGGTTCTATTTACACGTCAATGAACTCTACCAGACCAAAGTAGTACTTGGTTTTGGAACTTGGACTCAAATAGTCGACAGGTTTTTGTATTGTGCAAACTCTTCAAAGAAACAGGCGGAAGTAAAACGATTTCAGTGCAAATTTACCTGCGCACAGTCACTACATAAATTTAAGTACATCTGAAGCAGGTTTGCATAGTCATAGATTTTGGATTG